CGGGAGGGCTGGAATCAGTTCCAAGATAGCTTCTAAGACATCCCGCTGGGATGTCGCTCCTTAGGGGCCTCAGGATGGCTGTGGTGGCCCAGAAGGCAATTCCAATCACAGGGACAGACACTGTGCCCTGAAAATTTAACACAGGACTGAAAGAAGTTCCCTCTCAGCATCAGCAAACTATGAACTGGTTGGATATTTTTAAATGCCACTGCAAAACAAAAGCCATTCAACACTTGGGTCGCAGGAAAAAAAAATGCAGTGGGAAAGAAGCAAATCTAAACCACAAAGGAATTTTTAAGTTTGGTGAGCTTTCGGGCTCCAAAAAGGTTTGCGTGAATCTGTTGTTTTCATTTTTAGTGAAATACTTCAGTTCTCATGACAACTGTGAAGGTTATCTTAAAATAGGGTTTCTGTGATTCTCCAGGGGGCACTCTTTGTGTCCTAACACTTACACACATTGCCACAAATCCTCCTCACTTGCCTGGGTGAAGTGCCTGGATAAATTTATTACATTGGAGTTGCCCCCAGGCTGTTTAAAGTGGAGTCTGGGTGGACAGAAAAAGGAAGTACAGAGTGCAAACGATATTTGGCCAACTCTGACTGTGCTTGTTCGTGTCTTCCCTGCAAATTCGTGGGGTGCTGAAAAGCTCTGGTCATAGGCAAAGTGTATAAAAACTTAGAAATCCAGTTCACTAATGACTCACTGTGTAAACGTCAATAGGGTACATATGTCAATTCTTAGCATCACAATTTTTGGACACTTTAAATCTTCATTTTTGGGTAACTTGTGATATTTTGAAAAGTAAGAATATTGGAAACTTTTTAGTCATATCTTCCTTTACTTGTACTTTAAAAAAAAAACAGTAATACTGGAAAAAAATCAGTGAATGAGAAATTAGATGGATCAGCTCTAGAAACTAAATTACAAGTATATATGTACATCTGTAGTGTTTTTTTAAAATAAGAACAATTTAAAAGCTTATTTAGTAGACAGTTTTAAACACAGATTAAAGAAAACTAGATGGAGTGCGAATGTCTGGCTTCCCAAGTGAGAGGCCACACATATATCAATGGAACTTTAATGCTTAACACTAAAAACCCCCAGGTTGATGGTGTCAGCATTGGAGAGGAGGGACAATGACAATAACCCTCCTGTCAGTTATGCATGGCCCTGGGCACTGGAGTTCTCCTGGAAGTCTACTGACCCTATGAACTTGGATACTATGATGGAGAGCAGCAGAATGGACTGGATTACTGTTAGCTCTCTGATAGGTAAGGAGATCTGAAAAGGGCAGGGCTACCAGTGCTTCATGGGAAAAGCCAAGCCTAATTTTTAGAAGCGGAATCTCTCAGAACTGTTTGACCTCAGGCCATAGGAAAGCAAAGGGTTAAAAAAGTCAAGCATGACAGGCCAGCCTAGGGAGGTGGATATTGGATACCTGTGTGAGCCTGGTAGAGCCACAATAATCAAATGTGAAAATTGCAGTTTATTCATTAAAGTAAGAGAAGTTGAGTCTTTATTTCTAGACTGTTGAATGAGGAACCCAGTGAGCAATAGTCCCCAAGGCAAATCAACCCAAAGTAAAACTCTTAAAAAAAAAATCCCAACATTTATGATTACTGTGAAACTTTATGGTGTATATTTTTAAACTTGAACAACAGTGGTTTCTTTATTACTATATTTATGAAATGATTATCAAAGTCAGTTAGTTTTCCGGGCTTCCTATTTTTCTCCGAAACACATCCTAGGGGTGTAAGGAAGTTGAACTCTTGCTCTATGTAATCATGCACTGAAGATGTCATTTATTTTAGTTTAAAAAGCAAAATGGAGGCAGTTCCTTCCAGTGACTAAAATGGTTTAACTTAAAGTTTAATTAACAAAAACGCCACATTCCCATTTTCCAATTCACAAAGACAGGTTTTTCTTTAAAAATATGCCTGAAACATATTACAGATAATATCCCAAATGATTACTATGTAAACATTGTCATTACAATGAGATTAATATGATATCAGCTCCATTTCACATTGTAAACAGCAAGACTGAATGCAGAAGCCTATTTAGACTGTCCAGTGTTTGTGCAGGTTTTTAAATGAACCATACAAAATCTACATTGTTCTACCTTCTTGTCAAGAGGATCCATCTGTTTCCAATTATTGGCCTTTAACTGATGAAGTTCATCAAATTTCATACTAATATTTTCTATGGACAACTGCAGCATGTCCCAGAACCCCGCCAAATCCTGGGAGGTGGGCCTTGGATGAGCATTGGGATTCTGTACAAGAGAAAGAAAAACATTCATGCTTTAGAGGCAGTCTGGGACAACAAGCACAGGACCAAAGGGGTATTTTCAAATATTTCAAATAACATAAGGGGGATGAATTCCTTTTGGCTTTCAAATAGGAGATAAAAGTGAGGCTACAAATGGTAATCTTATCTATTTATCTACCATCTATCTACAAGGATTTATTAAGGAATAATTGACAAATAACAGTAAGATATTTAAAGTGTATGATGTGATGATTGGATATATGCACACATTGTGTAAGGACTCATCCCATAGAATTAATAAGCACATCCATCATATCACATATTTATCTTTGTGTGTGTGTGTGAGAGAGCATTTAAAGTTCTACTCTTATCAAATTTCAGTTATACAATAGTGTTATCAGCTATAGTCATCATGTTGCACATTAAATCCTCAGACCTTATTCATCTTATAACCGAAAATCCGTACCTTTTTACCAATCTCTCCCTTTTCCCCACCTCCAAACCCCTGGCAACCACTTTTCTACTCTCTCTTTCTATGAGTTTGACGCTTTTTTAAAGTTTCCATTTCAAATGGTAATTTTATACACTCATCCACCTGAGTCAGTGATTCTCAAGTGTCAAGGATGTAAAACTCTTCTTTTGTAATACAACATCTATCAATGTGGTATGGGGAGAGAGTCCAAACTTTTCCAAAAAACTATGACAAGATACATTTAAAACATATTTAAATGAAGATACTGTCTCTGGGGAAAAAATACAATATGTTATTATCAGAGTTGGAATCCAACTCCATGCCATTCAACTTATTCAGAGAACAGATAAGGAATCTAAAATACGATTTGTTTTAACAATCATGTTGAGTGAAACAATAGGGTCAACAAATTATGAGTAATAAAATAATTGGATTTTTAAAGTACTATGTGTTTAACCATTACGATATTGCTAATGCAGGAAGTCATTTTATCACACAAGTACTTTGACAAAATCATTTGGAAATGAATTTGTTTTAAATCAACCATAACATACAATAGCAAATGTGAGAACACATACCTACAAACATACAGAGATGTCTGTAATGACCCATTTTCTAGATAATATTAAACATTCTTCAGTGTCTAAGGATTGACTTTTTTTTTTTTTTTGCCCCATCCATATACCCCTGAGAGGTACTACAAAGTATGAGCCACTAATTTATATGATGTAAAACAGACAAAACATAACGAACTGAGAGATTGAAGGGGTCATGCTCATTGTTAATCACTACCACCAATGGTAGCTAAAGGCATTCATGGTTAGGTAGGTGGGAGCATCCAGATGTCAGAGGCTTCCATCTGGGTGAATTTTGGTTACCTGTGGGTATACAAGCCAATCTGATATACTATGAAACCTCAGACCATTAAAAACCAACTTTCAGAAAGTGCAAGGTCAGTGCTCATCAAAGTTAATAGGTCGGAAAGAACTTTTTAGCCATTGATGGACTAACATTATTGGTCTGGTTTCAAAATGAATACAAGTAAAAACGTATTTATAAACTTACACTTCTCAAACTATACTCATAGTTCTGGAATTCATTGGAAGATGTAATTTCTGAAATTTGTAAGTATTTGGTTTAAACTCTAGTCTACTGACATGTGAATTAAACTAAAGAATTTCCCTGGGGGGCGCCTGGGTGGCTCAGTCGTTAAACGTCTGCCTTCCCCTCGGGTCATGCTCCCAGAGTCCTGGGATCGAGCCCCAGGTCGGGCTCCCTGCTCAGCGGGAAGCCTGCTTTTCCCTCTCCCACTCCCCCTGCTTGTGTTCCTTCTCTTGCTGTGTCTCTCTCTGTCAAATAAATATATAAAAATCTTTAAAAAAAAAAAAAAAAGAATTTCCCTGGAGTTTTTTCATTTAGTAAGTTAACTCAACATCTAGGTTCAGAATAGACGATAGCTTTAACAAAGCATATCACAAATGGAGTTTTATGTCTTCTTTATCTCACCAGTAACTAAGAACTAAATTGTTCATATTTTGGAGTTTACTGAAGTGTTTTAGGTTACAAGCCCTACTGGCAAAAATGTTTCAGTGCAGCAATGCATGAAATGATAGTTGGGTAGGCCTGAAGAGTTTGTTTAATTCTGTACGATGGGCAATTTGTTCCCTCCTCACCAAGAATCTCTCTGCCCCTGAATCGTCAAGGGGACAGATGGGGAAACAGAGAGAAAGAGAATCTGTGGGTCATGTGACATTCCACGCACAAGGAGTTGCAGCTCTTGCCTTGGCCTGAACCAGACTTGTAGGTCAGAGGTGGTGGAGGGTGTGGAAGGATGAGATGGGCTGGTTCCTTAGTTTAGTTTTGTTGGGAAAAAGTAATTCTCATCCATTTATTCTATGCCTGAGAGTCTAGTCTGGGATAATATGCAAGTGTTTTCAAGTGTTCTCCTCCTCAGAGTAAGAACTCAAGGAAGGAGAGCTGGGTCCGTTCGTGGCCAATCTTAGCTGCATGAAGTAATGCCACCATGCTTCTTGCTGCAGAGGAGGTGGAGCTGACTGATCAGCTCCATGTCCCTCTAGGAGGGTGAGGAATAGAACTCATATCTTGGGCATCTTGGGGGTTGAGGGGAGATCAAACAGGGACAGAGGTCAAACGGACTGGGATTTGCATCTCGGCTCTGCCTCTTACCCTGTGACCCTGGCCAAATTATTTATTTATTTATTTATTATTTTTTATTCCTGGCCAAGTTATTTAGCTTTTCCATCTTCATCTTCCTCAGCTGTAAAACTGTCATCAAAATAATGTCGCTATCTGCTCCATAGGGTCGCTCTGAGGATTTAACCGGATCATATAACTAAAAGCCCTCAGCATGGCGTCCGGCACAGGGCGGGCTATCCGTCTTCCCTTCTGGGGCGGGACTTGAGGCAGCCATCAGTGGCTCTCTGCTGGAAGTGCGGTTCCGCTTCCTGCCTGTAACGTCTCGCCTGCATTTGCAACTAAGGTCCTCTACTGGCTAAGGCACGTGAGCCCACCAGGGGCTGGGAAACGTCAAAAGCTGGCTGTGACAAAGTTAACCTTTCCTAGAAATCTGCAAAGTTCTCAAAAACGTCTTGTCTGTGATTTCATCTTCAAAATCTGCAAAATTTGCGTTCTACTTCATAATATACCCCCTTATTCTATAATTCTGTTAAAAAGTGTGCTGTGTTTGCCCTACTGTGTGTACATATTGGCTTCCCTGTATCCTTTAGCCAGATTGAGAAATATAGCTTTATTGGAACTTTTGTACATTTAAGGAGCCAAGAATCATGTTAATTAAGATCTGTGACACATTAGCAAGTTTACAAATTAGCAAGAATTCTGATCGTGGCACATAGTGAAGCTCAATAAAATATTTGTTGAATTCACTTATCAATGCATTTACTAATCTATATTATCTCATAATCCAGAATGGAATTTCTGAGAAGGTGGAAGAAGGGCCAGGTAATTTTTTGTGGAGGGAAGGGAAAACAAACTACAGATGTGGGCGGTGGGTGTGAGGAGGAGGGAAAGGATCCCCCAAAGGGAGGCTTCAGAAAGAGAAGACTGATGAAGAAGGATGGGGAGCACCAACTTCTGCATGCTTTCAATTTTCTCTTGATAGAGCCCTCTCTTGATAAATCCCATTCAGCCTATATTTGTCCTTGTTAACAAGAAGATGTGGTTAAAACTCTAAAATCATAGTCAATTAGATTGCAAATAATCACGTTTTTACTTTCCACAAGAAAAACATGTTGCTTTTCATGTTCTTTATTTTAGAGCAAGCTTGACCAACAATTGACCAAGAAAAGCTATTCTTGTGGAATGACACTTGCAGACATAGTGAGCAGTATTTTTAAAAAGGCATGTGTATGTGAGGAAGCTCTTGCCCTTGTATTTTGCAGCCAAGTTAAAAAATGTTGTTGATGCTAATGGTGTTGTCTCTTCATTTTGCTTTATTTGGTTTTGGTATGTCCAAGAAGGATGAATGATTCATATGTCTCTAGGAGATCAAATCTACACTTTGGCCTGCCATCCACCTCTGGCCTTGAATGAAAACTGAGAGACCTGATGATGAAATAAGCACCGAGGGCTATTTCAGAAGGAAAATCATTATCTGGAATAGTTCTCTGTAGTATTATTTTTGAAATATCAGGCTGTTCCATATTTTCGTAAGAATAATGAAATCAGGGCTGCTATGGGAAAGCCAGGAAAATGCAAAAATTTCCGTTACAAAAAAACCAAAACAAAACAGGAAATGGAGTTTCAACTTGATTGGATTTTTTTCCTAAGATTATTTAAGTATAAAATAAATATTTCTAATTTTAAGAAAAGCAGGAAATAAGATTCATCAGAAAACTCTATTCCAGGTGAGAGGGTCCAATGGGCCTTCATTTGGTTCAAAATCAGTTTTACTTTAGTGGCGCCAGTCTTGACAACACATTCTCCTCCTGACTGGGAATTGGTAGTGATGGGGAATGTTACCTACCAGGTTTTCTTCACACAGTTCTCTGAACTGGTAGAATTTCTGGGCCATGAGAAGTTGGGCACTGCCCACTGCGGTTCGGATTTTCCCTAGAACTGAAAAAAGCAAACATACAAGAAGTTTACACATTATGTCTCATGGTTGAGATTTAGTCTGGTAAAGCAAAGAGGAAGTCATGCTGCAATAATTAGGGAAAACAGCACACATACAGCACGTGAAACACACACACACACACACACACACACACACACTGCCCAGTTGCCGTTGTTACTCTGCCAGTCTATGGATCAGAGGCTCCTAGGATAAAGTATAAAATCGACTTGGAAAAAAAAAAACCCATGCTTATCCCGCATATTTCTTAGGAATAACGGAGTTTTCCATCACAGCGCTGGAGGTTACAAGAGAAGAGGCAAATAGGGCTTTTTTTTTTTTTTTTTTCCTCCCTTTTACGGCAAGGATGAATTTCAAGAGTTTATCGGTATAGGGGCGCCTGGGTGGCTCAGTCGTTAAGCGTCTGACTTCGGCTCAGGTCATGATCCCAGGGTCCTGGGATCGAGCCCCACATCGGGCTCCCTGCGCTGCGGGAAGCCTGCTTCTCCCTCTCCCACTCCCCCTGCTTGTGTTCCTTCTCTCGCTATCTCTCTCTGTCAAATAAATAAATCTTTAAAAAAAAAAAAGAGTTTATCGGTATAGTTATGGATTTATTTGTGTCAGCCATCACAGTCTGCTAGCTCGCTTTTCTAATCCAAATCCAAACACAAGAAAAGCAATCCTGACCTGGGGGGTTGGGGATCTCTTGGCACTCACCATATCCTATCCATAGCCTTCAGGATTTTTCCAGAGCCCAGCCACCGGGACTGTCAGGAAAGTGCCATGGCCAGTTGAAAGATTTTCTAAGGAATGAACATTTTCAGCCTGTTGCCTAGGGAACGCCAGCACCGTTCCGGCTTTTCCACTCCACAGACCAATTTTATTGTTAATACAGGTTTAATTCCCTCTGCACTGTGCTGAAAATCTCCTTTGCAAGCTACTTCTTGTCTTCTGCGCAGACTAAGGCAAGAACCTTTCAAGTGACGGGCGTGCTGAGAAGGGCAGCACCGCGCTGCACAGAGCTGTCCCGAGGTCTGCATTGTCCCAAGGCCCTCCCTCCACCCGGTGGGGACCGGGGCACAGCTGTGCGGCTGGAGCGCTGCCACCAGGCCGTTCTCAACACGCCCTCCCAGTCGGGAAGGAAGGGGAGAAGGCGCCCTGCTCGCCTCTTCCCAGCCCCGCACTGAAAACCAAACAGGGAGACTCCTCAGCAGGGCACTTGCCCCGCATGGACATCTGCGCGGGGGTGTGTCTTAAAGGATCGAAGAGGTGTTTGTGCCCTTGTTGTTTGGTTGTGAATTGACAGAGCCCGAGACCCAGGGTGGAATGAGGTCTCCCTTTCTCGACTTCAGTCCCCACAAAGTGTGAGAGGGAAACAAAAGAAAAGGAAACTTCATGCTGGTGCAGGGTTTTCTAGTAATTTTCTTCTCTGTTTAAAACTGCCAGGCTCAAACAACAACAACAACAACAACAACAACAAACAAACAAACCCAAAAACCACAAAATACTGCCAGGCTAGATAACGGTTTATGATACACATTATACCTGGGCATGACTCAAATATTTCGGCATCCCCCACATGGAAGTCAGGGCGTTCATGCACTCTCTGTCACCCGTCACAGCAAACAGCCCCCGTGCAGAAATTGCCTTCTCAGGGATAGCTGGGGCTTCCCCTGACGGCCATAGCACAGCAAGTCCTCAGGCCTAAGTGTTTACTTTGTTCCAGGCTGCTTTTAACATCTTTTGGGATGGGTAACTTTTAACCATCATCACCGATGGATCTGTGGTGTGAGGCCCTTCTCTCTTTCTCACACCCCTGAAGCAGAAAGGAAAGAGCATGTGGAGACACAGGGCATTATCGTAGCTAAGGGTTCAGGCCCTGAGCCAGCTGAGGGTTCTGGCTCCCACACTTCCCAGCCCCTGCCCTGGACAGGTCACTTAATCTCTGTTCTCTCATCTGTAAAGGGGGGCTAACGGTACCTATTTGTAGGGTTGTTGTGAAGGTTGAAAGCAGTAATGCATAGGACAGAAATGCTTAGGACAGTGTCTGATATACAGCAAACGACCAATAAATGTTTGTTATTACCTAGGGACAGGACACTATTCTGCCTCTCTGGGCGTCCCACCTGTGAGCCCCACGCTTGCTCTGCCCGGAAGAGAAGAGGAAAAAACCAAAAACCACACATCGTTGGTTGCCCGGGACAGGTATATGCTTTAAATGACCTGTCCCAGATCGGAGACAGTTCTGAGGAGGCATTTCCTAAGTGACCATGTGGCTTTAGGCAAACTCTCAGGTCCCTGGAAACATCTCTGAATTATGTTGCTGATGGGTCGGATGGTGACACCAGCAAATCTCAGATTGAATCCTGGGAGCTTAGACCTAGTAGTAAGGGGTCTCCAGTTTGCCGGCTGGGAAATTTACATAACTCCTGGAAACTGTCACAGAAACTCAAGCTATTCTGATATTCCTCAGAACTTTGAGCTAATGGTTCTCAGTTGCACCCAAATACCCGAGCTATATGATAGACTACCAAAATAAGAGTAGCTGAGTAAGACAGTGATTCTCAAATGAGAAGAAATCACTGCTCCAAGCAATCTTTCAGGCAACACCCAACCAGGTAGGTAGGGGTTAACTTGGATGGGTGTCTTCTTGAAAGTAAAACAAGGGATCTCTGTCTTCATTCAGCATGGTCTGGTGAGAGCTATAGATTTGGAGCAAAAGTAACTGGGGTGGGGTTGTGGCCCTTCTGTTTTCCAGGTTTTTGCCATCATGTTCCTTGAGTGGAAATTCCCTGCTGGCTCTGGGGTTGTGTGCATTTCCACTGTCTGAGTGATTATCTTGCCTGGGCTCAGGGAAGGGAGATGCTGATGTGGGCCTTCAGTGAAACCATGCAACAGGAGGGCTTGGGGCAAGCAAACAATAATTCCTACTTCTTTGCCTTCCACACTTTTTTTTCTAGAGAACTAAAAGCTCATTTTAGTTTTTTAAAAAAGATTTATTTATTTATTTGAGAAAGAGTGTGTGTGATTGTGTGTGTGTGTGGTGGGGAGGGGCAGAGGAAGAGGGAGGGAGAGATTCTCAAGCTGACTCCCCACTGAGTGCGGAGCCCGATGCAGGACTTGAGTCATGGTCTCAGGGTTGTGAGATCAAGAGTCGCCCCCTAAAAACTCACTTTAATTTTTAAGAAAAAAGCTCTAATGTGGGCGCCTGGTTGGCTTAGTTGGTTAAGCGTCTGCCTTCGGCTCAGGTTACGATCTCAGGGTCATGGGATCGAGCCCCACGTTGGGCTCCCTGCTCAGCTAGGAGTCTGCTTCTCCCTCTCCTTCTCCACCCCACTTGTGCTCTCTCTCACATAAATAAATAAAATCTTAAAAAAAAAAGAAAGAAAGAAGAAAGCTCTAATGGAATTTGTTCTCTTTTTCCATTAGACATACACTTGGTGTGTGAGATCACTCCCTTTCCTGAAGGTAAATTTCATATTTGTTATGTAGGCCATGAGGAAGAAAAAAGCTAATGAAGAGGATGTGCTCCTGGGATTACATTTAGTTGGTTTCCTTCACACTCTGGTCCATGTACCTTTTCCAGATTGTTCAACTTAAATGTAGTCCACGGTTTGTACCATCCATCTCCCCTCATTCATTGCATCTTCTGGAATCATGCTTCTCTGCTGTATTTCCTCAGGCATGCCATTTAACCAAGATTTATACCATTTATTCGTGTAATATTTAATCATATTATAGGCCTTATCTGCTGCGCCATTCTTTTTATGTAGGTAAGCCTGGTCTCCCTATGTGTCTTATAAAACCACTAATGGTTCATTTTTAAGATTCCTTTCACCCTATCCTTTCCTCCTAAGCTGTGAGTCTGTTCCTCAGTGGATGTACAAAATAACAACCCAAAACACTGGTGAACTAAATTCCTTCCATTTCAGAGACAGACACCCCCACACTAACTCCCCCACTTATAATTCTAGAAACTTCTTATCCTGCAGTAGATGGCTATGGTGGATCATAATAGAGAGCACAGGGCTCGGTTAGTTCACCACATAAAGCCAAGAAGATCTTTTGGAAGGTCATCACTGTTTGGTTTTTGCAAAGATCTGTCCATTCATATTATTGCCTTGTGTTTCACATGCACATTGAATCAGATCCCCTCAGGACCCTGTGAGGCAGGGCAGATATCATCATTCCATGTGAGAAAATCTGGGCTTAAACTAAGAAGTGCCTTTCCTGGGGCCCCAGGGCGCCCGGGGCCCCGTCTTCTCCCTCCCTGTCCAGTTGCACTCTTTTCTCTCAACACGTATTGAAACCTGGGTCTGAATCTACTTACATGAAGACATCTGAGGGTGATTTCTTTCCTTGATCAACACTCTCTAGCCAGTGCCACTGGACAGAAGGGGGACAGCTGTAGGAAGCTGATGGAAGAATGGGGAAGTTCAGGAAACCCCCTCCTTGTCCCACATCCAGATGGGAGAGCAAAGCACATGTACTCGAAGTAATTGTTGCACACAGAAATTTCAGGAGTGAAAGGAATGTAGGAACCAGGGATCCCTTGAAAAAGATGCTAGTGGATGTAAGGTTTAAGTCTGGGTTTTGCTTTTAAAGATTATACATCATACTAGAAGCAGAGAAAGACTCTTTTGGGGTGTGAGATGGGTCTCTTAGGAAAACTCTGATTTTAAATCTGGCCACATACAGATAAAACCCCAGACATTGAGAAAAGAGCACACCTCCTCCCTCCCACTGACCCCGTGGGGGATGACTTTTATTTGGGGAACAAGGAGGTGCTATAAAAGGCACAGAGGTGAAGGGAATGGCAATTTCTTTTAATCCTGCAAGTGGGTCCACGGCAAAGCTGCAAGTGTGCTGTGGTAGCAGCAAAAAGCAAAGACGGCTTCCTTTGGGGCTAGACCTGACTTTCTGCTTTGTCCAAATCAGTATCTCATATCTGTAAGCATAGCTCTCTCTCCCTTTCTCCGCCACCTTGGGTGGGGGGTGGGGGTGG